AATACGATGGGCTTTGGGAGGTGAACATGTTTATAAAATGGGTTTACAATCTTTTCCCTGGGAGGGTGTGCACAAACACGATGGGCATTGGGAGGTGAACATGTTTATAAAATGGGTTTACACATCTTTTCCCTGGGAGGGTGTGCACAAATACGATGGGCTTTGGGAGGTGAAAATGTTTATAACATGGGTTTACCATCTTTTCCCTGGGAGGGTGTGCACAAATACGATGGGCAGGGTGAGGTTTATAAAATGAGGCGATCCAACCTCCGCGTTTTGGGTCACTTTTTTTTGCGCTGTGGTTGGCTCCCTTACAATAGTGGCTCTACAACCAAGGTTTCTAGTACATACCTGAGTTTGCATGGGCCTATCACACCATAATGAGCCATTTATGGTATAGCCGTATAGTGGCTATAGGCTCCATGTAGGCAAATCCTATGCAGGACTAGTTTCTGTTAACATCTTCTAACTCTTTTTGAAGAAGAAGAATTCACTCAAAACATCTCAAAATAATGAAAGTCAACTTTATTTTTAAAACATAGAAGCAACTGTGCAATTTAAGACAAGTGATAGCAACCGAATGCAATCATCTCAACAAACTTGCAAGCAAAAAACATGTGAAACACAACAATGCCAAAAGGAAAAACACTGCTCACATAAATATGTTCATTGATGTTCATTGAACATTTTGACATTATTTTGTGTGCTGATCAAAACCTGAGCATTCACCATGTGCCACATTCAAGTTGTGCATCGTCTTTGGCAGGGGAAATGATGGGAAATGGATGGAAATGTTTTGATTCGGTTGCTATCACTTGTCTTAAATTGCACAGTTGCTCCCTTGTTTTGATATTAAAGTTGACTTTCATTCTTTTGAGATGTTTTGAGTGAATTATTCTTCTTCAAAAAGAGTTAACAGAAACTAGTCCTGCATAGGATTTGCCTACATGGAGACTATAGCCACTATAGTGCTATACCATAAATGGCTCATTATGGTGTGATAGTCCCATGCAGGCTCCCATGGCTTTAGACTTATAGTGCGTATAGTGGACACAACCACAGCAAGATGTTGGATGAGCATTCCATACACATGGACCATTTTCGGATCAAAATGATCACCGGTTCATGGAAAGCCATTCCACAAAGAGAAAAAAAGGCGTCTGCGGATTTTCATTTTTTTTCTCTTGTATGTTGTCTCGCCATTATATAAAAAGGTCGGGTTATCATTTTATAAAGCAGCAGCCTGAGGGATTTGATTTTATAAATGATTTTTCTTTATAACATCAAATCCCTCACCCCAGAGACCTCCACAAGGGGGATCATTTTGGGTGGTCAACCTACGAAAGATCAGTACCCTGGGACCCTTCGATGGTCGACCCTATTCCTGTTCACCCTTCGATCGTCGACCCCAGGGTCCCCCTATTTGGACCCACCTGCCCTGAGACCCCGCAGGTGACATGTCCTCGGCGACCTCCTCGGTGTCGATCGACAAGTTGGTGAGTAAAGACCTCAGTCTGTTGGCGCCCAACGTGGAAAGCTTCCTGAGCAACCTGAAGGTGACGATGGCACAAATGGACCAGGTCTTACTGGATCAGAAGAACACCAGTTACTCAGAGCAAGAGAGTTTGGAGAGGATTCGGATATATACACACACACATATATATATATTATCAATATATTTGCATATCTATATATATATATACATGTTATGTATGATGAAGCGTTATCAAATGGGCCACTTCCACTTCCATGATTATTTCAGGGACTGCAAATATGTTCTGTATGTTACGACCTAGTGGACTCATGTCATCTTTCTGACGAGACGTGCTGACCCAAACTGACCCAGACATGGTTTCACACATCTAACTACATGAGATTACGTGACCCAGCCATAGGACCGCCACCCCATAGACCCCCGAAGCCACTCAAACTGATCGGCAGTCCCATGGGTGGTGTCTGGGTGATGGACTTCGATTTCAAGCGAGCTGAAGAAGCGTTCTACGCGTCCCGGGCGTCTGGTTACGGCTCATAGGCGCTCATAGGGTCCATCCGAGCGTCTGGAGGAGAGCTGGGTGGCCTAGATGGCCCAGTTGAAGGCCGGTGACAGGTCTATTTTGCGAGAAGAACCCCGTCGAACCCTCACAAAATGGAGACGCGACGCATCTAGGTTAAATGGAAAATACACAGCACTCATGTCACTCATGTAGATCATAGAAACGTTTCTGATGGTGTCCCAGCTTTCATGTCCACAGACCGTTCATTTGACGCCTCTTTGACATGTTTGTTGGCAACCCATGCATTGCGCGCACCTTGCTGTCCTGCCTTTCTGTTCATCCAAGGTGACAGTTGGAGGGACACCATGTGCCGTTGGTTGCATGCGAACACAGAGGTCTGGCAATCCTGGATCCCAGATGAGAGACTTGCTTGCTGAAGAAAGTAGTTTGACGTCTGACAATGCACTTTGAACGTCCTTATTATGTTGGGATCGATCAGGGTAGGTTGATTGTACCCATCAACACTCACCAAAACGACATGGGATAACATGTAAGAGTCGATGCGAAACTCGACCGTCCACCCAAGGAGTCGATGCTTCCCTGGCTTTGGACTCTACGACACGGTGCTGGAAAGCTTCACGGAGCAACGTGTGAACACCAGCAACAAGATCGTGTGTCAGGCGTGGGGGTGTTTCCACCGAGGGGTTGAGCTGTCTGTCGCGAAAAGCATGGTAGCCGCGGCTACAGCTGAGCCGATAGACTGGAGAAGCTTTGAGCGGGTTGTCGGCGACGGTGGACGCGAATTGGGAACCGGAACTGACGAGAACGTGATGGAACAAACATGTTCCAGGCATGTGCCCGAAAGCCTCTGGTTAGAACATTTTGGTCAGAATCTGATGTTCAAGCCAGCACACAAATCTCTTCTCAGACGCATCCCACTTTAGATCCTAAATAGGTTATATAATCATAAGTCATAAGTCTTTCTTGCACCGCGAATCTGCCTGCGAATTGAACAGTGCACTCTCGCCTTGCGCACGATCGCCAAGCGAATCCCACAAGCCACCAGAAATCACCCAACCCTTCGAACCGCCAAAAAAATGTCTCCTGCAACCACGCAACCGCGGCAACCACGCATGCATGCGCAGCGAGCCGCAACCATGGCGCGACACGCCAAGAAGACCAAGACTCAGGTTGTTTTGATGGAATGCGGTGGAGACACGCTTCAGTTCTGAACGGCGATGGATGTATCATCGCACGTTCAGAAGCTGACTTGATGTGCTCATGGTCGGATCTTTTAACATGTCATTGCCTTGCTTCTTAGGGAAACTTTGGGAAAGATTGGTTCAACGAACCATGAAAACGTCACAGGTCCAGTACAAGTGCCTGGACATGACTGCAAAGAGTCAAGTTGAAGGACAAATAGAACATAGAACGAACTACTATATACTAAGAGAATCAACAAAACCAGTGAGTGCTTCACAATTGCCTTTCATCTACAGAAGTGAAGACTCCACAACGATGAGATACCGCAGGAAGAGAACCACTTATAACCACTTTTCGATCTACCCTCCGCTCGGTGCAAAGACGCTCATAGCAGAGGAGACATCCAGAGCAGAAATACCGCCCCATTTCTCCTCTTGTGGCGAAAGGATGCGACAAGTTAGATTTTATTTTTTCTGAACCCCGGCTCCCTATGTTTGAGGGTCGCATGCTTCAAACTGCTTCATGCTCCCAAACAGCTCCCAAACAGCTCCCATGCTGAATGTTTTTCAGGGTCGTTAAATCACCTAACATATGAAGCAGCCGCCACCGGGGAAACCCTCACAGCCTGTTTTATTTTTTTCCTGTCATGTTTTTTTTGTTGGGGTTGCTTCGACATCCTTCGGTGATGTCGCCGTTTTCAGAGTCAGAGGCTTGCGCTTCGGGCACCTTCTCTCAAGCCTTGTCTGAGTCTTGGAGAGGGAAGCGTCGTGGACGAACGGTCGTGACCCACCTGGAGCCCGCCCGAGGGTCGTCCACCAGAGGAGGCGTAAGAGGCAGAAGCAAGTGTGTATGTTGGACATAAGGCGTGGGGTAGTGGCTGATCACTAGCTAGCGAAAGTGGCTCTGGCTATTCCTTTTGGAGCCACTTAGGGTGCTACAAGCACGAGTGAACCACCAGCACTTCCTTCCAACGAACGTGCGGGCGCGGAAGCCAACGCACTGCGTGAAGCCGTGTGACTAAGCCCAGAAGAAAGCCGCCCTGGATCCTCCTGGCGTCCTGAGGATTCCTGAGGATTTCCTCGTTTGGCATTCCTTTCACACCACACTTCATGATGGATCTTTCTTGTTGTCATTGCGTGTTTTTGTCCAGACTGAAGACCGACCTTTCGTGACCACCAGTCCGGTGGACGTCCGTTCCAGTCCGTCCTTCGTCCAGTCCGTCCTTCGTCCAGTCCGCCGCGGTCTTGGTGCTTTCACCGCAGTTGGTTCCAAGAATCAGCTTGTGCAGGTTTGTTCAATGTCCAGTAGATTGAAACAGCACGTTTGAATGAATGGCCCAGTAGGTTGAAACACCACATGGAGACGGAATCAGCCAAATCGTTTCGTTTCACGAAAAAGCTTGTGCACCGAATACTCTTTCCACACGACCCAAGGGGGTCGGTTTCTTTCACCCCAGACGTGATTGATGTTGTGATTGGTGTCGTCCGAGGATTCGATCGGGGAGACCTATATTTGCGTGCCCTGCCCTTTGGGCACCAGCCAAGACTTGGGCGCAGCGCAGTTCTGCAAGCCATGCAAGTCAGGCGCGTGAATCTTTTGAAGCACGAAAGCGAATTCGCTTACAGCCGGGCTCCTTAGCAATGCCGTCATGTTTGTGGATGGGCCATGGGATGTTTTGGGTGCTTCCGAAGAAAGGCCACCAGGGGTCACAATGACATCAACATTCTATTCCTTTGTTTGAGACTTCCACACCACGTGCATTCCGCTGCTTCAAGGAAACTCCGTGGTAATTTTTGGGTCTGCAGGCATCGTCACGTCTTGGGAATGTCCGATCGAGCGCGTGAAGAATCGGATTTCATAGGTGAAAGATTCATACAGCTGGTCTCCACAGGGGGGGTCCTCAGGAGGCAGCTGGTCGACCTGGTCCCGTCGCCAATGGAGTTCCTCACAGACCCCTGGGTACTGGATGGGATATCCGGACCTGGCCGACACCCTGGCGCAGGTGAGTACCAGGATGAGATTGGAAGCAGGACGTGTAAACGCTGCAGCATCGGCAACTATCAGGAGCTACAGGGCTGTGTCAACTTTCTATGTGATGTTTCACTTTCAAGGCTTGATGAAGTGTTGATCTTCAGATATGTGTGGTACTGCGAGTGTTGCTTGGAAATAACAGGATTAGGATTTGCCCCCCAGACTCATCAAAACGATGTTGCAGGATGAATCGGGGGCCGAGATCTGCAAGAGTTGTCCAGTGGACACCACCACGTTGGGCTTGGGCCACTCGACATCTGCACAGTTGGGGGAATTTTAGAGCATTTTGTATATTGCGAACCATTGTCCTTGTGAATCATAGTCAGCATGTATAACATCACATGCATCATAAAGACCTGTAGCAGCCCTTTTGACTATCAAGAAAAAGTGCGTATGGTCCGGTAGAACTGAGAAGGAGGTAACCCCTCTGGAGCTCTGATTGAAAAGCCTCTAGGTCACTGAGATCCCGGGTGCGATTGTGAGCCATAGATTTGGGGCCTTTGGAACCCAAACAGCTGGACTGGTGAATAATTGTTGTGAGTAAGACATTAGCACAAGGATGTACAAGGAAAAGATGGATGAGATCAAGGAGGTTCTCACTACAATAGCTCAAAGTACGCTGGCAACAACATCAGCAGCTGAGGCAGTGATGAAAGCAGTTGAAGACAAGAGGTCATCAACAACCGATAGGTCAAAGTTGATAGCAAAGCCCAAGATCTTTGACTACAAGTCACAAGATGAAGAGATTCAAGCATTCAGAGAGTGGTCATGGATCTTTGAGAAGTACTTGAGTGCAGTTGATGAAGGCTACATGAAGGACCTGAAGCAAATTCGTGACAAGCCAAATGAGAAATTTGACATGGACTTGGCAACTGACTCAGAGAAGGCCAGGTGCATCAGGCTCTTTGGACTATTGTATAGCTTCATTGATGAGAGGAAGGGCACTACAACTGGTGAAAGCTGTGCAGGACTCTAATTGCTTTGATGCCTGGAGGAGCTTGAATAAAGGTTTGAAACCAACTTCAAGGGCAAGAGGCTTGGCACTCTTGGGGGCAGCCGCTACATGGCTAGCATTTTCAATGAACAGTGCACTACAACCTCAACCCTTGAAGCTACGAGAAAAGTATTTGATGAGACTGTCAAGGCAGGGACTACAATTCAGGAAGAGTTGAAATCTACTATTCTTTTGAGATGTGTAGGTGGGCAACTCAAATCCTGCTTGAACTTGACAATTGGTGACAATGTTCAATACTCAACTTTGAGGGAACATGTGTTGCAATGGGATAGATCTCAGCAGAAGCGGGCTGCTTCCATGGTGGCTAGTAGCAGTACAGACTATCAAGGACCCATGCCAATGGACGTTGATCGAGTCCAAGACGCCAAAGGAAAAGGTAAGAAGGTCAAGAATGACCATCAGAAAGGCAAAGATGCCAAGGGCAAAGGAAAGGAAGGACAAGGATATCATAAAGGTAAAGAAGGTGATCACAAGGGTAAAGGTAAAGACAAAGACCAGAAAGGAAAAGGTGTGACAACATGTTACACTTGTGGAAAGCCAGGACATCTTGCTAAAGACAGTTGGAGGAACAATATTCGACAGGTAGCAAGTGATCAGACCCATTCATCTTCAGGTGGAGCATCTGTGACAACTCATACAGTTGGCCAACAGCATGCAACAGAGCAGCTCAGCAGAGACCAAGCCAGCGGTCTGAAGAATTGAGAACTGTGAGCCGATTATCTTTGACCTGAGGAAGAAAGATGATGAGCTAGAAGATCAGGGAATCAGAGTGAATCACTTCTACATTGGAGATGATGATGATGTTGATGATGATGACGATGATGATGCTGGTGATGATGATGAGCTAGAGATCCAGGAAGTTGAGGAGATGCCAATCTCACTCTCAGATGATGAACCCATGGTGAGGAGACTTGGGGAAGAGAATGAGGATGTGGCCATCATTATTGACAGTGGAGCAGATGTAGCATTATTCCCTTTGAGCGTGGCAGATCATGGAGAAGGAGAACTACAATTCAGCGCAAAGACCCAGCTACAATGTGCACAAGGAAACCGTATCCCCACAGGAGGTGCGAAAAGTGTATTTCCTTGCATGACCTTGATGGACGAGAAGTTCTTCTCAAAGAGAACGTGATCTTCAGTTCCAAGGTGAATCAGCCCATACTTTGTTATGGAAGGTTGATGGCACATGGTTGGGGAATCAACAGCAGAGAGCAACTGTTGGAGAATGGTGACTTGAAGGTACCACTCAACTTGCAAAATCGCCCTTTGACCGTCCAAGGCCGCATTAGAGTCATTCGAGATGAAGATGAGAACTGCTTGGAGGCGCAAGTACCTGAAGCTTTAGAGAAGGAACCAGGTTGGAGATCCAATGAACATGGACTGCTAGTTGGAAGCTTATTAACTTCAAGATTTGGTGACCCCACAGTCATTCCAGAAGTGGAGGAATCACCAGAGTTGATGAGAACCACTTTGGTGAAAAGAGGAGGTAGATGGCTAATGCCTGAATATTGTGAAAGCATGAGGAAAAAGGAGGAACTTGATGAGCAGTTCTTTGATGATGATGCAGTCACTCCTTCAATCACAATCTTCAGCTATGAGCCAGCACCACCAGAGGATATGGGAATCTTTGCACCAGGATACAAGAAGCTTGAGAACAGAGAAGAGAGAAAGAAAGAAGTGGAGAAGGCAGTCGAA